GCCAAGTTTCTATGCTCTGACATAAAAAAAAAACCCCAACCCTACAAGCTTTGAAGCTGGGACAATACAAATTTATTAGAGCATCTGATTTCAGAAGTGCTGCTGGATGCTCCCAACCACAAAGACAAGCTGACTCTTAACATTTGTTGCCTGGAGTCCACGGCGAGGGTTCACAGAGCAAGAACCACCAAACATCACAGCCCAACCCCACCGCCCCGCAGAGACTGCGGTGCACCGAGGTGCTTCAGCGCGCCCTGCCCAAAGCAGCTCCTCACAGACCCCGTCCTGCCCTGCTCCGAGGTGTGCAGCTCGTGCTGCTGGAGCCGCTGCGTGTCGTACATTAGCCAGCCAGAAATGGGCTGAATCTCCTTTTTTGTTAATGAAGAAAGGTTCTTTCTCAGAGGATAAAGCAAGGGAACTGAAGGTTAGTGGTTAACAGTTGCATCTGTCCCCCCAGTATTTCAGTTCTGATCAATCGCTGCAGGACTTTCATCTTTATTTGACTTCTGGCTATCTTACAGAAAACCCTAAACTTCAGTTTTGCCCATGGGAGAGGCCATTCCAGAAACAGTATGTTCTGGCACTGCCAACGTACTTGGCAGATATAATGTGCACTTCAAGGGCTCTCCTAACTTCAGCGAATTTCAGAGTAGCAATTATCTTCAATTACTCCAGATGAAAGACCACACAAAACGTTAATTCAAATCCCCCTTCTCCCAAAAGCCCCCCGCTATCCCTAATCACCACTGCCCTACTTCTTCCCCCTCGCCAACGCCCAAAAGGTTAGACCTACTCTTCCTTGACGCCCACGTTTCCTGATGTGATCGATCCCTCTGTCACAGCTTCTTTTCCGTGTATATTATAACAAAAACCCTGCCTCACTTCAGGACATTTAAGACTACTTGTTGCTGGTTTGGAGGAAAGCACAGCCTGCTCCACACAGACACACTTGCTGCTTCTTACCTAATTTCTCCCACTACCTCAATCAGAACAGAAGGAAAAGCAGACAAAACATCTGGGCATTCGCACCAGCAGTTAGAGGTAGCCTGAGAGGCTCCGTTGGATCCAGCTGTTTCTATTGCGCTGCAGGACACAAAGCAGTTAGTATCACCTGGAAGCAATGTGTGTCAGAAGGGTTTTATTACTGAAGAAATTAATGGGATATGTATCAGCACTGCCTTGATTTCTAGTAGCTACAAAGAGCTCATATTAAAGTTACCAGCACTCTTAAGATGAGGATATTAAACACAAATTAGAACAATACTCAGCAGCAGCTACGAAACAAGGCTGAAACAACACTAAGCTACAGAGCGATGGCTTCGTAATTCAGATACATCTAAAGGAAACATTAGACTCAAAATGAAAACTGAGATCAACAATACGTTGGGATCGTTTAAATCACAAATGAGAGAGCCTGTCACCAAAGCCGAAACCTGTTCTCAGGCTGAAGAGCCAAGACCACGCATGGCACCACACGGCAGCGCACTGAGAAAACAAAACTAGCACGTCTCTGTGATCCACGCAAGATGAACTAGATGAACTACTGGCAGGAGGAAACGAGAGAAGGAAGGAGACTTAAATATGTAAACTTTTTCTGAGAAAAAACACCCAGCAGTGGGTCAGAAGTCCGAAATACCAATATTCACTAGAAATGCAGAATCGCCTCCTAGCAAGTTCAGTACGAGCCTTTTGTCCCCTTCAAGAGGGAGCACTGCGCTCGATATCGCTTCATAAACTGTCAAGCTCCCAGCTGTAAGCTTCAGAGATTTCACAGCTCCATTCTTTTCATGATTTTTTTCTTCCAGTTTGTTGCATAAAATCCGTAGCTTTGGCTGCTCCACCCTATAGAGGGCTGAGTTTTACAGCTATTTGTCAAAGAGCAGTAACAGTCTCAGTTTTGTTTTTACAATGATTATAATCCTTGCCACGAAGAACTTGCATTTTAAGAGGCATGTCTCATCTGTGACTCACTCGACCTGTCTCAAGCGGGGCAACAGCTACAAGCCTGGTCACAGGAGCCTGAAATCCATCACGGGCTGCAAACTGCTCCTAAAGCAGCAGCCTGGGTGCGTCAGATGAAGCTCCCCAGAGCCCACGGAGCTTCGGTTCTCCTCAAGCTCGCACGTACTGCTGCTGCCTCTTTTCTGGGGTGAAATGAAACAGGAAGTCCAAAGAATGGGGGTGTCAATTCCTCTACTGTATTTGCTGAAAAGCTCCTGACGGCAGGAAGAGCACGAACAAATCTTTACAAGTCTTGAAACGGGCAATAACCGGTGCCGCTAATGAAGTGGTCTAAGAGGCACCGCAGAGAGCAGCGAAGTGACAGACACACAGGAAGGGGGGGAAAAAAGGGTTTTGAGGCAGACTGCTGCGAGCAGAAAAAAACACAGAGCCAGGCCTGGAGACGCATTTGGGCACACCACCAGAGCCAGAGCCAGGGAAGATGAGCAGCACAGTAAAGACATTGTGGGATCCTAAAAATCAGAGAAAGGGGGCAGTGACAGTCATGGAGATGAGTAAAATGACTCCGGGCATAGAGCCCGCCGCAAGAACAGCGCCGGGAAAAAAACCACCCGAACTGAGGTCCGGCAGGGCCCTCCATGTCCGAGGCACTAAGAATGAAAACCAAAGAGCTGGGGGTGACTTCAAAGACCCGAACTCCTTGTTTGTGCTGCCACTTGAGACTCTCCGGAATAGGAAGTGCAGGAAGCAAAGGAGAAGTTCAACGTTTGGGTTTTCCGAGGCCAGCGCTGTTTTGTTTGCTGAGCCTCGTGCTGTCGCCGCTTCCCTTTCGATGGGAATTGTGAAGAATGTGGTGGCTGTGCCCCAGCAGAGCAGGCACAGATACTTTTTGCTCCGTCAGAAGCTCACTGAAATACAATGCTTTGCAATTCACTTACAGTGGCCTGTTACTTGATGTTCATGAATGTACAAGACATAGAAAATGTCACTTTTACACCAAGCTTTCCTAACACTGCTGTTACGACAGCTGTGTCATTTCACACAGCTATTGCTTTATCTTAAATAAAACAGCAGGCACGTTTAATCGAGTTGTCTGGGCAATGAGAGGACCAGATCAAAAAAAGGAAAAGATGACAGATTTTTAAATTGAAAAGCCTCCACTAAATGAGAGCAGACCTATTCCTTGCAGAAGCAGCGTGCTTTCATCACCAAAACCCTTCCCTCTCTCCAAAACAGCTGAGCCTTAACATCTCACACTCACGGGTTACTTCTGAACATCTTGCATTTTATACACTTCACACAAACCAATTTTAAGTAATTCATGGCACTCGGAGAATCCAGCACTATGGATGATTTAACAGAAGCTCATCAAACAAAACTGATTTTGAGAAAAGCCCAATCTAATTCTGTCAGATAGCATTCCTAGTTGCAGTTGTGTGCTACTGTTAGCTATTTCAAGCCAAAATTTGATCATATTGAATTCAGGAGATCTTTGCCAGTTTCAGTACGACCCAAATGCTGACCTTCAGTAAGTTATCAAATGCCACATGGTACAGGCCTTCACACCAGAAGTTATTTCAACTCAGAATGTCTAGAGTGAAAAATTTTATGCTGCTAAAAACTGTGGAAAAAGTTACTGACTCCTTATGAATGGGTAACCACGATGCTGGCAATACATAAACTAGTTCCAGGTCTGTAAGCAGAGAATGTGGAGAGCTACTGTTAGTCCAGAAAGTCTTTATGCACAAGAGATATGAATGAATTACTGCAGCTGGAAACCTCCTTCGCTGTCACTGAACTGTGAGTCAAAACGAAGCAACAGCTTTTGGGGGCAGAAATTCAGTGTCAAAAGTTTAACACAAGTCTTTGCCAGTGAAAGAGCAGGTCAGCAGCAGCATCTGTCGTCACCTGTGACCACAGCTCCTCTGTCACGCTGGGAGAATTCCCCTCTTTACCACATCTCATAAAAGGACAAAGCGGTAGTTGTACAAGTCATAAATGTTTGTGTAAAAAGCCAAACTGTTCACCCTCTCTTCTGCTCCCAACTTCTCCCTTATTTCTAAGACAGATCCACCAGCATTTTCCTTGGTACTAGAGGAGAAACTGCAGCTCAAGCCCAGCAGGCGTTTTCAGTCAGTCTGTCTGTAAATACCCAGGACTCACTTCAAAGAGCCCACCACACCTGGGCAGGAGAAGCCCCCCTGGCCCCTGGGAGGACCCAGCAGCCCCCAGCATCCAGCAGGAACAGCAGCACGAAACTGTCACAAGCAGGCTGGGGACTCTCTTGGTTTTTTCCCCCCAAGATGCCCAATTCACAGCCACATCAGTAGGGGCAGACCCCAAGTTTCGGTGTAAGAGTGGTGGCTTGTCTCTGCTGACGTCAAGAACCTTCTCAGTGGGCATCTGCAGGATGGGGCTGCCAGCGAGTCCCCCGAGCAGCAGCAGCCTTGGGCCGCGGGCAGGCTGCGAGGCAGCTCAGCGCGCAGGGCGACAGTGCCAGCCACCATGAAACATCTCTGCCATGGCTGTAGTTTGGGAAAAAACTGTCACTGTCAGGGCAAACATCTGTCAGCCTTGCACATTTCAACTGCAGCAAGAAACACGGTAATTGTATCATTTATTTTCCATGCTGACACCACGACATACCCAGCTAAAGAAGATAAAAGAGGCTTGGACAGTCAAGGCTGCAGGGACCCGTGGCCATTTTGATTTAAGCTTATTCTCTTTCTGTCTAAATAAGAATAACTGTTATGAATGATGAATGTTCCTCCCCTCACCCCAATGTGCCCCATGTCAGGCTCCATTTCCCTCCTTACTGTTCCACTTCCGTATTTGCGTAGGTCTCTCCCAGGGTGACACTTGTAGGAAACAAAGAGTGTAGAAACCGTACAGTTGGATGGTCAAGTTGCAAAGGCAGGTGAGCTCTGGAGGCACTGCCGCACAGCTGTACAACAGCAATCCCCTGCTGCCAGCCTCTCCCACCCTCTCCTCTACCCCCCCAAAAACACACACCTCATTCTCCGCACCCTCATCCTTACCTCGTAGGACCACACACACTGCACTCCTGCAAACCTCCGTACGCATCTTCCCACTTCCACGTCCTCATGGGTGGTGTACAACTCTCGCAGGCACTCGCCAATGTGGGGCACCATTCTCCGCAGGACTTCCCGGCTCATGATCACTCCTGGTCCCCCCATGCAGAAGTTCTCACCCGGTTCCAGAGCCAGCTTCCCCATCTCCTCCGTGGTGCCGAGGCCAGTCTGCCCAAGAAAGAGGGGCTCGCTGCTGTTCAAACTCCTGAGGAAGTTCTCCAGTTTGTCCCCTTTGATGTAAACATCGTCATCAGCTCTCATAAACCATTCGTATTTGTCCAAGTAGTGGTCATGCATGTATTTGAGCATCATGAAAGACTTCTTCTGCGGTGGATAAGTGTCATCTACACCTGGAAGCGGCACGACGGGGATGGGAATAGAGGTGTCCGAACCCTCGCTGGAGAAGAATTCAACCTTGCCAGGAATGGTTTTGGACCACGTTCTAGATTGAAAGAGACAATAAGGACTAAGTGAGTATGCAAACCAAGGCAGGCAGAGAGTGCTACCAGAAACCACTCAAAGGAACTACACCTCATCTGCTTTAGAAATTTTCTTTTTAAATGCCTTGAAGGGTTATTTTTTTGCCATGCAAACAAGGACATTCACATGGCATGCAGAGCAACACGTATGACACACAAAAAAACTCTGACATGACAAGCACCTGAATATCATTTTTGCAGCTGTATCTGATAGAGAAACAATTCAATAGTAGTAGTTCAGTAGTGGCAGGCAGGCTTTCTAAACACACAGTATTGGTCTAACAGCTATTGGTCAGAAGATACAGAGCGAAGCCAAAGGGAGCCAAGATGGGCAAACAACTCACATACAACCGGATTTAATGCCTCCAAAGCTTCCCTACAAGTTATTCAGCATCATATCCACCTCCCAATCCCCCGAAACTCTCCCAAAAGCTCAAATGTGCGTTCAGAAGTACTGATTTCCAAAGCGTAAATAGATGCAAATTTCACATGAACTTGTGAGGAAATCAGTAGCCTGTGGGGAAACCAACCAAAGAGCAACTGCTCCAGATGCTATGTGGAAAAGCATGTAGGGCTTTGACAGAAGTAAAACGCTCCTGCCTGTTTGTGACAGCCAGAGAAGCACAGAGCGTGGTAGCAACACTAACCTCAAATGGGTCTGCTCATACCAGCAAAGGACTAGTAGAAAAGTAGTCCTAAGAGCCGCACGCAAAACACATAATCCCAACAGCTGACCTGGCGCTACCAAGGCCCACACCTCCAGCAGCTTTCCGCACACTTCACACCAGATTTTAGTAGAGAGGAACATCACAAAAGAGGAGCCCTTTCTTCTGCGAAGCAGCACAGCAACTACATCTGCTCCGCACCTTCCGTGCTCCTCTCTGCCAAATCCAACCCATCTGCGTGGGCAAACTGGGTCACTGATATTGCAGGAAGAGACGTAGGATGATTCCTCAAGGCAGACTGCAGAACACTTAACCTCCTCCAGGGAGGATTTTCAATCATGTAACTGTTACAGCCTTGCCCTAAAAATTATGAATTTTAAGCTTTCAGCACCATTTTCTCCAATTCTACCTGGGGAAAAGCAGAGTTCCCATACCCTTCACAGAAACTCACAGAAAACTATTTCCATTGGTAAACCAACAGGTTTTGCCCCTTTTTGTAAACCGGAAGAATATTTTCTAATTATGTTTGGCGACCATGCTCAGAATATAACCTATATTCAAAGCTGAATGTGAAAAGGCTCTCAAAATAAAGGACACAGTATTCCTTCAATGCATCACTGTCACTTTTACCAGATGTCTCTCAACATAGGTTTCTTGCCAAAAGCCGAGCAGATTTGGGGCAGTACAGACCATCTGAAATTTTAAATCTCCAGAATTAGTTACCATACAAAGTCTGAAATTTAAAAATATTTCAGAAGAATTATTCCTTAAGTTCCACTGGGAAACGCAAAGGTATTTAATTACTACTGACTAAACATCAGCTTCAACACCTTAATGGTTACACACTAATTCAGCTTTGTGTAATGAATATCGCCCAATTACCTTAAAAGCTTTGTCTTCTGGATTTCTTACTGCCATGGGTAGTGTTTCAGAGCAAAAGTTTAGATCCCAGCTTCCCAGAAGAGCACAGGGTAAAGCCAATGGAAACACTCCTGTTAACTTCACAACAGAAGCGATCAGGCCTTTAATCATCAGTGATGCAATTAATGCACGGTACTACTGCATCCTGTTAAAGCACTGAAAACTGCCCGTTTTAAAATGACACATGCTCATATCTTGAACTTTCACTAACTATTAAGGAAGTTCCGCTGTTTTATGTCCTGAAACCCACGCTCCACATACAACTCATCTGGTCTGGAATGAAAAGACTACATGATAAATTGCTCTTCCCATATCAACTCCCAATCTAAGTTTAAAGGACTTCTTCATTAAAGGTACTTAATGCATTCAAATTTTAATCTCATAGAAAGAAAAGGCAGAAGAAGCTACTGAGAAATGCAGCCCATCTCATCCACTGTGACCCGCTCCCACTGCAGCTTTGGGTGGAGCCAGAACACATTCCGGACAATCACCATGTGAAGTTATAAGCTAAAGTCTTATGGAAATTTCTGCTTATTGACTTTTTTTTATTCAAAAGCAAACAATGAATTTTCAGACTTGTTCTTCATATCCTGAAAGATCTGTCTTTGTAATGATTATGAACTATGGACAACACAGGATGTCTTCTATCACTCCAAGCTTTAGCTCCTTTCTGGACTCTTCAGAAGCAGTCTTCAACTCTTCCCC